CTTCCTTTGATCCTGTAAACAAACGTTGGCTTTCACGAGACTCACAGACGCATGCGCAACGCTGAACTCATATGTCATCTGCCCAGAACTGCTTCCGTGTATAACTGTTGGCACAAGCTAGATTAAAGTGATTATTAAGTTTTGAATATGGATATTTTTCTTACAAAAACGCATCGATTCGCTACAGGAGGCCTTTGTTCACCCCCCGGAGCCGTGTGAGAAATTTTTTATGGATGGGCGCTTTTTATTTCACTTATTTTGGACTGAAGCACTGCAACACCCGCTGACTGCAATGATAGAGCTTGGAATAGCCAGGACAATTTTTAATATAACTCCGACTGGATTCGTCTGAAAGAAGAAAGTCATATACACCTAGGATGCCTCGGGGGTGAGTAAAACACAGCCTACTTTTCATTTTTGAGTGAACCAACCCTTTAAATAATAGGAGACAAATGAGATAATTAATAAACACAGGTGGAACCGAAGGAACTAATCAGGGAAACTCAGGAAAACTAGGTCAAAAGGAACAAAAGACAGAAGATCAGGAACACAAACAAAAGTCCTTAACTGTGACACCTCATCTCTGCTGCACAGCACTGACACACACACCTGCTAAACGCAGCTCAGTTGTGCAGCATGAGGGAGATCTAAATGACCGAGACGTGCAAGTAAAAGTGCACAAAAGCAGTGTCTATTTCGTGCACAACTTGAACAAACTACAACAGGTAAAGCTGTCAGCTGTGTGGATATTGACAATATCGTTAACATTTCTCGTTTATAATCATTACTAATATGGCTTCTTCTTATCAAGATCTTAGTCTATATGCTGTGTTCTGTTAATGCGTGAACTTCATATTATTTGAAGCGCACTTGCTGTCCAGTAATCGCAAAAAGCTTTGTGCTTTGTTAATTTTTAATAAACAAAGTATCAGCTTTAAAATAATGCCAAATTCATAACGAAATTCAAACAATAAATATGGTTTTGCCGCTCTTTAATGCGGCAGGCGCAATCGCTTTAGTGCCTCAGTTCAAGCGGCAAGTGAACCCATTATATCTTTCACTTTACTAACGTTACTATAGTACATAATGAACATGAATTAACATCAAAAGGTAGGCTATTTTATAAGAGAGCCTACAGTACATCTTACTGAAATGTCTCATGTAAAAGCTCAATCAGTGTGTCAAACTGAGGAAAACGGTTAAAGCTTGTAAATATTGCAACGTAGAATAACCATTCGGTGTCCATAAGCTCAACACTCAGCTAGAAAGATAACTATAAAGAGGAGCATTTTGCTATATTTATGCGCTATTGCATATTAATATTTTTACTTAACCTGTTGTGATTCAACTCCTCCTATAAAATTTAATTTTACTAATGAAGAAAAACAGACTGAATGTGTGAAAGACATATGACAACATTGATGAGGAGCCCAAACTACACTACTCTTTGACCAAATGATCCTTATGGTTTATGATATTGGTACAGATTCTGTGTAATGAACAATTCTTTGTGACTGTAGCCTATATTTCAAGTTGGAAAATACATTTAGTTCCCGCTTTAATTTAAATGTCATCTAAGATGGATTAAAATGTTGATAAAGTTAAGAAAAGATGAGACATAAACACACAACAGTATAATTTAAATGTAAAAAAAAAAAATAATAATAATAAAATTAATTAAACACGTTTATTCTGTAGCACCTAAAAAATTATTTGGCATCTAAGTTTTTTTCTTATAGAAGCCAATGGCTCCTTACTTGTTTTTTTTGTCTGGAGCCCTGAGAATCAAGAGATACTGGCTTTTATTATGCCATAGTGGGTTACATCATGATTCCGATCAAAGAAACCCTCTTTGATATCTGATGCTTCTCTCTAATGGACTATAAGATGACATTCCTTGCATGTCCATCCAGCTCTTTAGGTTGATTTAATTAAAGACAACATAGATGAAATGACAATGGCAAAGACAACACTCTGCCCAGACATGCGTCAACAATTCCCCAGCCTCCCACAAAACCTGCTCTGTTTCAACACAGCCCATCTGCTGGAGCGCCTCTAAATTACATCACACTAGTACATGTGATCACATATAATGCCAAATTCATAACGAAATTCAAACAATAAATATGGTTTTGCCGCTCTTTAATGCGGCAGGCGCGATCGCTTTAGTGCCTCAGTTCAAGCGGCAAGTGAACCCATTATATCTTTCGCTTTACTAACGTTACTATAGTACATAATGAACATGAATTAACATCAAAAGGTAGGCTATTTTATAAGAGAGCCTACAGTACATC